GCTTCGTTCCTCGTTGGCTATCTATCATCTCATATCCAATGCGCACTTATGGAATAATTGTTAAATACGTATTACAATTGTAACTTTTAATGCATAATGATCGAAAAATATTCCAAATAAACCAAGAACTTTTTTGTAATCTTTTCTTCATAATATATTGGAAACTTTTTGGGGAAATAGTACCAGGGAAACTTTCAATCAACACAATTAATTTACACGGTTTACTAATTTAATGTAATTTATTTTTCATGGCAAAAATGGAGGTCACTGAGTTTGCTTTGAGTTGAAATCACACATTGGAGGCTAGGTATCCCTCATCACTTTGCAAAATGTTTGAACCACCTTAAATAGGTCAGCTTCTTGACAATGACTTAACTTTTGCATACTCTTTGCATTTGTGGCATCTCCAGTTGCGGTTGCTGTTTATTGCCCAGGTTGGTATTTTAACACAGGTGGGATGATACCATTCTTTGCATTTGTCATTACTGCACTGAACATATTCTTCTCTATTGTATGGTAGTCTACAGACACAGTAAATAGCAACAGAGGACTTGATGCTGCTCAAGTGGCAGGGCACTCTCTTTTCAGTTTTGGGGAATGGTGACATTTCTCCATTTTCCAGGCAGTCAACGTAGTGTTGTCGCAAAGATTCTTGATGATACTTCTGATTTGTTGGGTCTATACCATGACACAAATCAGTTGCAAAAGCCAGGGAAAACAGACCACAGTCACTACCTCCAACTTGTCGCTGGACTTTCTCATTGACAAAAGTGACTTTGTCTCCAGGATACATCAACATGCGACAAGCATGCTCTATTGATGTTGAATTCATATTTTTGTAGAGACTATCAAAAATCTTGACGGTACCAGAAGTAGGTGTGGTTGAAATTGTACTAAGACATACCCAGTGTGACCCAGTATTTATGATCTGAATGAACTCTGATGCAGCAGGGACAACAAGAGACCCCTTTACTACTGGATCAATCAGCCCATCTATGAAGGGAAATTGTCTCTTGAGAAGCATTTGCCCTGCATGGATCTCAGAGTCAAAGAGCCAATGGTTCTTCTGTAAAATTGTTGTCTTGCTTTCTAGGTAGAGATTAAGTTTGTAATCTGGATCGTCAGGATAACAATTTGCTATTGTTACCCACGATGCAGGATCTGCTGAATTTTCATCAACAATTATGGTATTTCCTAAAGTAGATTTGCCAAACTGACCTTTGCTAACTGTAGATGATGAACTGTGGCTGGCTGTTGATGACTGACCATTGGTGACTTTTGATGTTTGACTATTGCTCACTGTTGATGACTGACCATTTCTGACTGTTGATGACAAACTTTTGCTGACTGTTGATGACTGACCTTTGCTGACTGTTGATGACAAACTGTTGCTGACTGTTGATAACTGACCTTTGCTGACTGTTGATGACAAACTGTTGCTGACTGTTGATGGCAAACTGTTGCTGACTGTTGATGACTGACCTTTGCTGACTGTTGATGACAAACTGTTGCCAACTGTTAATGACTGACCTTTGCTGACCATCAGTGACAAACTTTCGCTGACTGTTGATGACTGGCCATTGCTGACAAGTGTTGTTTGGCTTTTGCTGAGTGTTGAGGACTGACCACTGCTGACTGTTGTTGATGGACTCACAAGGACTTTTGTTATGTGACAATCACTAACTGTTGATGTCTCACTGTTGCTGATTGTCCATAGGAGACTGTTGCTGACTTTCGATGATGGGCAGTTGCTAAATGTTGATAGCTGACTGTTGCTGAAATGCTCCTCTTTCACTTCGATAGATTGTTTTTGCACACCTTGCATTTTTGAAGAAGGAGAAATGCATCTTTTTGGTATGTTAGTTGCATGGGGAGCATGAATGCTTTCCTGCTTTTCGTGATCGTTACCAAGAGGAGATTTTTTCTCTTTGGAGATAATGTATTCCCTTAGAGTAGCATAAGGATCATTGCTTGTTTTAGTTTCATTTTGGACATGGTGGTTCTGTTCTTCAGTGCGCTGTTTCTTTGGTGAAGAGGGGTGTTTAGAACCTTTCTTTCGTTTAAGAACACTCTTTGAGTTGGACCTCTTGGCTTGCATGCTGTTAACAGGAACTTGAACTTTGTAGTGTTTTTGCATCATAGATGCAAATTCTCCAACTCTGTTCCGAAATCTTCTTTTCTTTGGGCGCACAGGTAATGGCAGGTAATTTATAAAGGATGATTGGAGTTGTTTCTTGCTACTTTGTTGATTAATCAATGTTTGTGATGAGTTTTCCTTTTCATCAATAGTTTGAAAAGTTGTGAACTTATTGAGTAAGACTTCAAGAGAACTGTTTAGGTCTTTGAGGACACTTTCATCTTCAATATTGTATGTCAGAGATGTTAGTCCTTTAAGTTTCTCCCTACATATTATTGCCTCTTGCCTGATTTGGCTTTCAATACCTTTTATTTTCTGTTGTGGGACTACTGCTTTGTCATCTGGCTGTTTTTCTGGTATCTCTTCATCAAGAACATTGTCATTTTCTTTGTTACTTTTGTATTTAGTAAAATCAGCAAACACATGCTCCTTGTCTAGTGAGAGATAAGGGTTTTCGCGATATTTTTCTGGTAATGTATCCCACTGCCAGGTGGGGAAGTAGTTGAAAATTGCAAAAAAATGCTTGCATAGCAGGCCAGTATGGCAAAAATCAGGACAGCTGCAATGTGGCATTACATCCCTGGAACCAAAAGACAGATTGTACCAAGTGTTTATTGAGAGTGATCTCACTTGGAATTGACCAACTTCTGTGTCAGTGCAAACTTCCTTAATGTGGTGAGGTTCCACTTCAACAGCTGATCTTATTCTCTGTCTGCAATGGTTAATAAACGGTCTGGGTTTATTGTGCAAGTATTTTGGCACATCTGAGTTGTAACGCCTGTACTGTTCACTGCATTTTGTATTGAGCTCCACATACCTGGAAAATTAACAGCTTTTTAATGTGCTGTTTCTAATGTATTGATATCAGACTTACATATTTCAGATTTGTCACATTATTTAAGTGGCTGAGACCTATTTCCAGCACACTCCAGCACATACTTTGATTGTACCATAGTACTCATCTTTATCAGTTTATGCAGCTATAATACTGTTTCCAAACTAAAATGCAACCCTTACTTAACAAAAGTAATTATGATCATTTTCTTGACATAATAGGTGAACAACATGGAGTAACCTGTCGCTTTAACTGGTTATAACTCAAAGACAAGCTTTTATTATCAAATTTTAATCAGTATGCTAAGATGTAACTTGAAAACTTTAAAAATATATTTTGGAAGCTATCTTAAATAATTCAAAATTTGAGGTGTAATGTAGCATAATGATGATAGATCAATAATAAAAAGAGGGGTCACAGCTGAGCTTGTTTTTGAGTTCTAACAATAGAAAGCTAAAATGAGGTGTGTTTTCAATAGGCTATAATGTTGCTAGTAACCTGTTTTGCCGAGAAAATTATTGTAACTTTTAAGCAAGGATGGTGCATTCATTTGGTTCCAGTAATAATAGCATCAACTGATAAAGAGTGGAAATATTGATCCATCAAAGTATACATGGTGGAATGTACAGAGAAAAGGTTTGACCCACCTTAATACATACAGTGAGCATGGGAATTTTTTGAATTTGCTAACTGCACTTCTAGTATCTACTTGTACCTTCTGTATTTGTCTGGTAAAAATTCCTCAATTAATGTTGTAATCATCCCACTGAGGCTGTTGTTATTTCGGTCCTTCAGGTACTGGTATTTCAAGGACTCATTCTGTCGCTCAATGCCATTGTTGGTGTTGATATTTAACATAAATCTGTCTCGCCTGAAAGCCCACACCCATCGCTGTAATGTTAAACAAAGTACAGGAAACTTGAACTTTTAAATGACTTGGTGTTGATGCATGTTAACAGCTCACAGTATCAATTCATGATTGCTTATACATGAATAAGTTAGAAAAGGTTGTGCATGTCAGGTAAAAAAGAGGTAAGCCTCCAGAGGCAAGTTTTTGTTCTGTTCATACTCACAGGGTATCACAGAGAAGTGAAAAACTATGTGCGGTGGGCAATATTTCATTTCTTACCTCAGACTCTATGAGCCAAGTTTTTTCAAACCACTTCCTGAGCTTGGGATTAGCCCGCCAAAGTGCACTCTCCTTGAGGGAAGACAAATTTATTTCAAACAACTCTTCTGTTGATGATTTTGCAATGTTAGGTAGCAATGATAGGACCTCTTCTCTGTTGTCAGTCAACCGATTTTCAGACTTTCGTTGCCATCTTTCCCAGCACTGTTCACGATGGAAGTCACAAATATATGTAGTTGTATCTGTTAAACCAAATTAAAAGGGAAAATTCATGTACATTTACATTTGAGAGAGTTGGTACATTAGTCATTTGAAAGATTAGATAATTAAGCACTATGTAGGAGGTAACCCCTATGGTATCAGCCTACTGTAAGCTTAACTTTGTAGTTTTGCCTACGTGGAAATATCTACCGCTACTTCTTTAACTGAAGACCTAAGTACTAAGGTTCAAATGTATGCCCTTGTTTTCGAATCCCAAGGATGGATCAAGGGTATTAGGATTGTATAGTTGTTACTTTAACTCTTTCAACATCTTGCAAGCATTTTTAATGAGCAGGGCCTAATCTAATGAAGCCTTGCACAAACATACGTCTGTAACTTCTTCACAACTTTATAGCAACCTATTTTAAGTAATAATTTTAATTCATGCACCATTTTTGTCATACTGTTTAGTATCTGCTTTCCTTGTTTCTCTTTTTCTAATTTTCATATTGGTCATGTAGCACTGTGCTACCATCATTTTTATATTTTTGATTCAGTAATATATATATTTTTAATTAGTATGAAATGTATGTCATATTTAGGTAATTTTGGAACCACCAGTGAAACCTGGTAGTTTGTCACCCTTTCTAATTAAAGTCTTACTGATCAGTACACTCTACTGAAAACAATTCAAGTTAAGTAAAGCAAGGTTTTGATTAAAAAGAGAATTGTAAAGTTTTCTTACTTTGATTCGATTCTCCCTAGGGACTAAGTTTAGTTTGCTACAATTTCAATGTAGGTTCTCTCACTTTGTAAACATTAGACCTTTATTAATAAGTCATTGTTACCTTTGAATGTGCTCTCAATGGCATGGATCTCCTCATGGCAAAAGTCAGTCATAAAGAATTTGGGTTTCCAGTTGGCATTCCAGTCATGGAAGATTGTTAGTGCTTCCTGTATTAAAGCTGTGGTTTCCCTTTGAATGATGAAAGAACCAACAACTATGTAATTTACATTTGTCTTCACCACTAGAAAAAATAGAGGGAGCTCATATCGCATTGTCTTGTATGTTGCGTCAAGAAGGGTGATTTCATTTCCATAACGGACCATAAGATTTTTCTGCCAGGCTGTTTGATGAGCAAATAGAAGATCATCTTGCATACAAGTTCCATCTTTGTCATCACTGTTGCTTTCAGCATAGATTGATGACAATGATAGTGCACAGGGTCTAAAATAGAATGAATCTTGAGGTTTCTCCTGATGCCAACTTTTAATTTTCTTTTCAAGGTTCTCCTGATCAGTTTTGGACAGCAGTTTTTTCACTGAGGCCTGGTACATGTGGTTCCTTACATCCACATCTGTTGGATAATATCGTCTATTTGTAGATGATGGTGGAGTTTGCTCTGGGAACAGTTCAGTCTTTACAAATTGCCGAAGATGTCTTTTCATCTCGTCCACAGTTTTCACACCTTCGCCAACAAGCTCTCCGATCTTGTGTACAAGCCTTTTGTCAATGGGCTGCAGAATACCACCAACCTGGTTTTTTGATTCATGAAGGAAAAAATGAAAATGGGACCACAATTTTTGAGAAAGATATATCAAAACTGTTACGCTGATAGTTGTAGCTACTAGTAAAATGCCAATTTAATTATTCAATGGGACAGAACAACTTTAACAAGCGAATAAGTCAAAATTATGTTCTTTAGTAAAATTCATTTATGTGTAGAATTTTATCAACCTCTAATTCAGTCCAAGGCAACTACTTGTTAAGCCTTCACCTGTGTAATCGGCCATTATACANTGTTTCAGTGTTCACAATTGCAGTATGAGGTTTCAGTTTTCATCTACAATATAGAAAAATATATGAGTGCATCCTTGTATGGTAATGGTAACAAATCTATTTGTTCTATGGTTAAATGCTTGCAATTCTGGTAAATAACTTCAAGAAAGCAGTACTTTTGGACAGGTTGTCACTCGGACTTATTTATCACACTCTTCCAATTCCTTGTTTAAGTTTTCTAGTTCTATCTTCTTCTCCTTTGCTGCATTTCTGAGTGCATTTGATTCGGTTAACAAGACGAGCTGCCTCTTCACCTCAGCCTCTTTAGCTAATTTGTCAGCATCAAACTGTAAGGTGGTGATCTCTGTTTCAAGTCTCTTCTTTTTCTTCTGGAAATCAGCTTTTGCTTCATCCACAGATTTTCGTTTGTGGCTTTTGGCAACATTTTCCGCAAGCTGTCGCTGCTCTTCAAGATGGGCGTGATACCGCTGTCTTCCTGCTTTAGCAGAGGTAAGAAGCTCGTTCGAAATGACCAATTTATCAAGTCCATCAATACTCAATATGTGGTCATGAATGGTGCGTTGGGCAACGAAAGTGGTCTCCTTCATATTCTCAATCATTAGCTGTCGGTTAACGGAAAATCCCCTTTCTACACTTGCTTGCCCATGTGAGAGACACAAGAGGAATTTCACAACGTCCCACAGTTTGGAAAGTGAACCGACAAGACCAATGTGTTTTTGGAGAAATGCATCCAATCTCTGATCTGTAAAGTCAAAGTCTTCAAACTCAGACTTGTGCACCTGTGTAGCCCGTTCCGTAAATTCACTGTACTGTGACAACAAAATGTCACAATCATGAATATCAACCCTCTTGCATTCTACCAATTTCTTGAGGACAATCTTGAACCTCGCACAGCTTGCTTCTTTCTCTGTCACAATATGAATCGGATCCAAACAGCACAGGTTCCTGGCAAGGGAATAGGCAATTGGGGTCTTCTCAATAAGTTTTCCAACTGTAGCTCTAAGGAACGACTGGAATTCCTTCCTAAATTCATATGTCTGACGATCACTGATTTTCTTGGCTGCTTGCAATTCTTTCAGCTTCGTGGCAGCAACAAAACCAACATCCAACTTCTCCACGTCAAGGCAATTCTCCCTCTTCTTGAAGTCAATCTTCAGAAGCTTTACTGCAGAGCTGGCACCCTGGAGTACATCAGCTTTGATGAACCTTTTCATGAAACCACGAATCACCTTCTCTAGACTGCTGGCCACAAATGGTAGAAGAGGGCTGTCGCTTTAGAACTGTACCAGAAATGGTTGCAGCTGTTTAGCCACTGACTCAAAAGCAGCAAATTTGAGAGGCATTAGTGGATCTTGGGTTGAATCTCTTATCGTCTTGTAGGACTTTGAAGTTGGCACACTATATTTGCTGCTACGTTGCACCGTTGTCACATACAAAGTGACTTCTTTCCATATTTCCTGGGCCCGTACTACAACTGGCAGGTTCTCCAGCCATCTGTGCTTGCAGTACTTAATTGGAAATACAACACTGCTGGTTATTTCTGTGTAATCCTCTCTTCGTGCTGGTGAATCCACAAATAACCAATGAAGAGAAGACAGAACTTCCTGAATGCTCCAAGTAGATGCCTTTGATCCAGCTTTGAAAGCATTGTGTACAATGTGAAGTCCACAAGAGCCTACGTTAACTAAGATGGGTGCGTTTTCGTCAACCTCATAGATCAGTTCCTGGAATAGCTCATGCAGTTTCCAATTCACGTTAGGCCCGTCCATTGACAACTGCAATATGTTGGACTTCTGAATCTTGATACTATCAAGGTAGCTAACGATCTTTTCCAAAAGGTCGTGGGCTGTAGCATGTCCCAGAAATACAGAGGTTAGGTACCTTGTCTGCACTCTGGAGTTCTTTGCATCCCAAAACCTAACATGCAGATCCATCTGCTTGGTTTGGGTAACTTTATTGTGCGATTCATCAAAAAGTAAAACAAACAATTCAAGTTTTGTGACTTCATCCGTAAGCTTACGTTGGAAATAGGGTGCTATGCCAAAACAAGCTAAGTAAGCACATTTTTTCTCGCCACAGGAAAACTTGCTGGCTATCTGGCTGTCCGGAAACATACGTTTAAATAGTTCTGGAATGTCCTCACAGCTCTTGTAACTATAGTGAGACAAGATTACTTTCAGTGCCCACAAAACTTCTGCAGCAAGTGTCTCATTTGAAGCCACATAATTTCTTATATCACCGGCACCGGAAGAACATGGCTGTTCAGAGCGTCCTACTTCATGAGAACCACGCTGGCTTCCAACAGCAGGTAAAAAGTTTCTGAGGCTGGCATTGCTACTCTCGTCTAAAATCAAATTAAAAAATGTTTGTTTATGAATATCGTCAAAAATGAGCCCTAATTAAATGAATTTACTGTCACAGAAATCCTGGAATCTCAAAATTTCACAATAGCCTCATCGAAATTGCAATCCACTTATAAAAATAAACCATATTTTACAGGCGCCGCAACAGAACTGAAGGAGGGGGGGCTGAAGCCATAATTAATCCCAATGCTGAGCCACAAATGTCAAGGAAAAATAAAAACTCACTTTTAGTGTATTAGTGTTGTATCGCATAGTATTAACTATTGTATAAATTTTGTATTAATAAATAAAGATGCGCTAAATAAAAAAATATGAAATGGCCGTTTTGCTAGTCCCTCATAATACATTAACTTTATATCTGAAATTTAATATACCTCCGAGTTTAGTCCCACCGGCCCCCAACCACCCCCCCCCTGCAGCCTCTCAAAAACTCAAAAGAACACTCTTGCCTAAACATCGGTACAATCCATGCATTATCTTTGTCATCCCGAAATTAAAAAGACATTTATTTATATTCTGTCGCTTTAGATGACAAATTCTTTCGTTCTGTTTGATTATTTTGCCGATTCTTATTACACCACAGCACTTAAATCTATGTTATACCCAATACAGGCTGCATCCTAAATGAATCACGAGTTGGTACAAATATCGAGACAAATATCTAACGCAAACATGCATTTTCTTGTCTTGATGCAAACTTTAAATTCTAGTAAATTCAAATTTGAACACACAAACGTACCTTTAACAGCATCGACGTGCTTCTTCGATTTCATGTGGCTTTTCACTGCTGCTTCTCCCATATTTTGAACAGCGAATGTCTTTTTGCATGCTTTACATTTTGCCTCTGACGAAGAACTCCCGCGTTCTATCCACTTATTATACTGCGGGTCACTCAGCCAAGCATCTTGGAATTTGCATTTTCCAGGCATTATTAAAACAACGATCTAAAAACTGCTGGGCTATAGTTAGCTCTGACTCAGAGGCCCCATGCACAGATAGAGCATAAGTGATATTAGGTAGGACAATGGAATTAAATAAAACATCTACTTCTGCTTGGCTACATCCTTCCTTGCGGAGGCATCTGATAACGTATAACCCTTTATTAGCTTTACCTAACTTTTCTTTTAGGTGAGTACTGAATTTGCAGTTCGGCTGAAACGTGAGACCAAGAATGGCTGTGTCTCTGTCGATCGGTTCATTGCCATTCGGTTTCGTTTCCGTCATCACGACATTGTAACAAAGAAATGATGTTACACAGTGATAATTTGGATGGGGTTATTTTCATTAGGTCTTTCAATCCTGACGCTGTTCATTTAGGATCAGATTTTGTCCAAAGGGTACATGATTAATCTTGCAGTACTGTTGATTTCCGTTGCATTTATGTTTGCTGTTCCTTTGCTAGTGGTCTCAAGTTCTTATACTTGTATCTTCAAATCGGCAAAAAAACATTTTTATAGAATATTAGCAAGGGAAAATCTTACAATATTGAAAGACAATGTTAGAGTTTGTACGATGCGGGATTTTAAAGCTACTAAAACAATCGGTTTTGTTTTCGGTGATTGTATTATCACATGGATGCCCAGTTTAGTTATGCTGTTTGATGACAGTTATTATAACGTGGTAAATTACTACGATAAACCTAATGCATTGTGGCCCTGGGTTGAAGAAATTCCTTTGACTTCATCAGCAATCAATCCACGTTGTAACGAATACGCAGGTAACATTTCTCAAAGGTTACCCAAACCACACATTTTATTCTTTACCAGTGGTTTCTGAAACAGAATAAATTACACTAAATCTTACTATCGACGGTAAATGACAACAAACGAAATAAACCCGGCGAAATGAAAGCTTAAAACATAACTGACAGTTTGGATCTCTAAAGGGACACGAAGTGCAGCATTACGAAAGTACAAGGACAAACTGCATATCATTAATGAAAATTTAGGGGCGAAAACTAACATATACATTGACACGAGGGGACTGAACCCTCCTATGTGGATGGACCACTGGCCCTTGAAATTTATTGTAACACACTCATATGTTACTTTCGAAATAAGAATTTCGCCGAGCCTTTCGCCGTACCTTTCGCTTGTTGCCTTGTGGAAACAGCAAGGAATGTACAAGAAAAACTGGGCTGGAACTAGCAGAACACCTTATGGCACGAAATGATGTGAGATCTATCGCCATTGATAGACGATGTTGAAACGAACTGCTGCTTGGTTACATTTGGAATTTGATTAAAAAAGTTTGGTCTTAGTAACAATGTTTAGCTTGGTTGTCTATTTGTAATTCGTATTATACCCTCACTTTTCTTAAATTTTACGAGTTTCTTTAGCAGTGCTCTAGTTACTGAGTTGCTCTATATGGAGCCAACCTTTAGGGGTTGATATTTAAAAAGAATGCAAACAGGTGTGCTCTCAGAAAATTCAGTCGCAGCGACGGATTTAAGAAACATTCAGCATGTCACACGAGGCGATATGTTAGGTCGACTTGTCGCCGTGACGAGTCATACCGACGTAATGCTTAGCGTGTCCTAACCTTTTAACATTTAGTTTTGTTTCACCACGGTCTAGTTGCATCCGCCTTCTTTCGGCTCTGTATATGGTCTCTATTATCGAGGATGGAGACCTTAGTGCTTTATTTTAGCTGACTTGAACGTATCACAAGTACAAAAAAAATCGTCATCCTCACTTGAAAAAAAAAAGGCCCCAACTGACTAAAAACCGGCTAAAGTTGGGTGACAGGTAATTGATGGGGGAAAAATTATATGTCACGAAAGACTTGTCATATATATGATAAAGAAACAGGTATTTTAATAATGTCTAGGTTTACATTTATTAGGAAACAGAGTTACGTAATACAACCTTAGAAATTAAGAACTTCCGTTTGATCATTAGCTATTCACGAGGGGCACCAGGTTTGTAATCAAGCGAGATTCTTCAGATGTCCTCAGAGTTTAGCCTCCATAGTTTCCAAGTTGCCACGCTTACGAGTCCCAATATTTCATACCATCCGGTTTCCCTCTCGCTGTACATTATGGTCTGATGCATTTTGTTCCTGAACACAGGGCAGCCAACGAAAGGTGCGGCGAAAGGCTCGGCGAAAGTCACTATTTCTGAAGTAATAGATCAATGGGTTCATCGCTGATGAAGTAAAAGCGATTGCCTCACACCAAGGCATTGCAACAAACCANCAGCGCATGCTCCTCAGATATATCAAGACCCTGAGTGTTAGTCTGCCCTGCGGGCTTGAACCAGATCTCTAACTTTGGAATTCGAAGCTTTTAAAAGTCTTCCATGAGCCATCAAACTCGCAGAATTGAGAAGCACTCTATTTTTCACATGGTATAAACAAATTATCCTGCCGTTGTGCTACTCGTGATGTAAATACCATCCAAGCCAAATAACGTGGTGGCCGATTTCTGATTTTGGACACTAGTGGCCGATTTTTTTATTTTGGAAACCGGTTTCTGAATTTGTTATTTAAATTCTGACGCTAGTGTCTGAGTTTTGACATTTGTGGCCGACTTTTTATTTTGGAGACTAAATGATCAGTTATCCAAACGCGTCAATTATCCCAGATTCCAAGCGTGCCTCTAGCTAGACCAGCGGTGGCCAAGGTGAAAAAAGAAGAAAAGTCACCTGTGATTTCAATGGTGAAGCTACAAGTGGCTTATTTTCCTGATTGGTCCACTGAATAATACAGATTAACAGGGATTCCTTTATTCAACCATTGAGGAGGTTGGTAATTTGATGTTATTACTGATGGATCTGCTGAGTTGTCAGTTGCAACGGGGGTCGTCCAGGTAACCGACGCGCCGACAAACATTTTCCTCATTCAGCTAAAAATGACAAGGTGCTTTTTGGACATGTGACAACAAATGTACATGTGGGAGGAACAACATCTGGAATGAAAAAAGGTTTGTTGGTTTTAACCAAAAGAACAAACATAAATCAAGCTAATATATCTCTTGATGTCAACTCTAAATTGACCTTCGTACTGAGTTTTACTATTTTTTTTTTACGATAGAAATGACGCATGGACCACTCGTCGTTTTCCTAATCTTAAAGCTCGCAAGTAATTTATTTTATCAGAACGTGCACAAAACACCTCTTTGGCTCATGATCAAGATGGCAGAACTTATTATCAGTCGGGTAATATCCACACCCTTCTCATTAGCATTTGTAATACGAGATACAGAGCTTCTTGAGGGATAATTTCGACTCCACGTAGAAATTTGTTTTCAATGTGCCTTAATCTATTGGTGATGTCTCTATAGGCAGAACTAGCTTCTTCAGACGCTCTTTCTATGAGTGTGACCATACCTCTTTGCCCTTTCGTAATGTAAGACAGAGAGTATGTAGCACATGCATAAGGATAAAGCACATTGTATGTCCATGTTTGTTTGCCAGGCTTTAAGCAAGTTAGTGTCATAACCCTTGATCCTCAATTCCGATGGTGCCCTTTTTAAAAATAATGTCACACTTTAATGTGTATCTTACAGCCAAGATGTAACTTTCTTCATTCAATCGCAGTTTACTGAAAATGTAGTGAATGCCTGGATATATTAGACTATTATAGAATAGAAACTGGAAGAGAGTATGGAGTCGAAGAGTTTACGACTGCGGTGTAATCCGGTTTAATACGTTGTTTAAATACTAAATACGCACATTAAAACTCTACAATTAGCGACGAGGATAAACAGGAAATTTTCAGACATATGCAAAGCAAATATAGCCGTAAACATCAAATTTGGAAACATACAATCTTTTGATTGCACAGGCCATCCGACAAGCGTGGGGCCTCGTTGGAGACAATGGAAACGTTCTTTTTATTTTTTTCTCGAGGCGAAGGGTATCAAAAAAGATGCACAAAACAAGCCTTACTTTTGCTTTGCGCTGGACAGGATGTTCAGGACATTTTTGTTACGCTGAGTGACCCTGGACCAGCCCCAGAAGAAGAAACGCAGTATGCGAAAGCTATGAGACTACTGGACGCACATTTTTTGCCACAAGTTAACATTTCATTTAAACGACATCAGTTCCGTCAAGGAAACAGGAAGAGTCTCAGACAACAGACCCGTTTGTAACCAGATTGTTCCAGCTTAGCGACCATTGCGACTTCGGAACATCTAAGGAAGAACAAATTCGCGATCAGTTAATTGATAAATGTCGGTCACATGATCTTCGCAAGTAACTACTCGCTGTCAGTGGTAAACTCAATTCAGAAGGCTAGAGATGTTGCTAGATCCATGGAAGCTGCCGAAAGTCAGGCACGGTCGATTGAAAACGATTCACGGAGCGGGAATGTAAATTCCTTAGAGCGGGGACATTTTGATTCGCCTAAACGTGGAGGAGGACATTTTTATCGGTGTGGACTCCAAGGACATTTTGGAAAGGATCCGGAGTGCAAGGCAAGACTGGCTACTTGTATGAAATGTAAAAAATTGGGGCATTTTGCAAATTTCGCAAAACGAAGGAAGGAGACACTAATAGACCCAGGAAAGGAAATATACGCCAAGTCACCAAAGATGATGATTTCGCCTTCACCTTACAGTCTAATGGAAGAGACATTCCCACCGTAGGCATTGAACTAGGATGTGTTCGCCTGGAAGGAGTCCTTGTCGACTCTGATTCCACTTGCAATGTTATTGACAGAGCGATATGGAAGACGCTTAAGGAGAAGAAAGTGAAATGCGTTTCAAGGAAATCCAACAGAGAGCTGTACTCCTATGGATCCAATGAGCCATTTACTACTGCTGGTGAGTTTGAAACTGAACTTTGTCATAAGGATAAACGTTGCCATGTGTGTTTTATTGTTGTGGAGGAGAAAGCAAGGGCAATACTTAGCAGGGAGACGTCAGAAGAGCTGGCAATACTGAAACTTGAAATTAATGCAATGAAAGAAGAAAACCTGTATAGGGATT